GCGGAAAAAAAGGGGAAACAGACAAAAAAAAAAAAAAAAAAACACATCATAGTAAAACCAATACCTTCTCAGCTTCGCATCGAAGCTAAAAAAATGTACATATATATTGATAATAATAAATTACATATATCATAATAAATATAAAATCGATACAAGTTCAAATTAGAAAGAAAAATATTTCACACAAGAAAACAAACACATATACAACGAAAAAATACTATATAACAAAAAAATATTGAAATGGCATATATATGAAAAAAAATAACAATAATTAATAAATTTGCATGTACAAAAGAGGTACTATCATAAAGTTATTGTACACGAATTTAATAAAAAAAAAAACAAAATGTACAATATTTCAAACGGAATCGAACTGATGTTGACATCAGACAATGACAAATTATTTTAAATAAAATCGTAACAAACATAAATGCCCAAAGATGTTTCAAAATACTTGCTGATGAAACGGCCGACATTGGTGGAAGCGAACAAGTATTTTTGTGTGTTCGATATTTAGATGTTGAAAATATGATTACCAAGGACGAATTCTTCAGTTCGTACCTATAGCAGATACTACTGGAAAAGGTTTATATATTATTATTTAAAGTTTACATTCATTTGGTGTAGAAACAAAATACGTTAAAGGACACTGTTACGATGGATGTGCTTTTATGTCTGGTCAATTTACCGGAGCTCAATGNTGTGCTTCTATGTCTGGTCAATTTAACGGAGCTCAATCTCTTATTCACCAAAGTTATCCGCTTGCGACGTTTGTTCATTGTGCTGTTCATGTTTTAAACCTTGCTATTTCTTATTCATCTTCTATACAAGAAACACGAAATTGATTAGGAACAACATCTAAAGTTAGAGATTTTTTCATATACCCAAAGCGAAAAGATGTGTTGAAAAGTCAAATCGAAGAAAGTCAAAAATGTATAACAAAAAAATCATTAAAACAATTATGTGCGACTAAATGAGTTGAACGTTTTTATGCTGTCAATGATTTTCTTGAGCTTTTTGTGTACCTAATTGAATCGTTATTTATAATTTCGAAGTGGAATGACACTGAAACATCATCAAAATCAAGTAATTTACGAACATCAATAATGAAAGNAATTTACGAACATCAATACTGAAAGGAGATTTTATTATTTGTTTACTTATTATAAATAAAGTATTTAGTTATGAGTTACTTTGTTTAAAACAACTTCAAAGAAATTAGCAAGTACACAGCATTGTTATTATCAATGGTAGTAAGGCACATTGTTGTGAGTTTATAAATACACTAACTGTCAATACAGAAAGTATATCTATGATAGTCATAATTGATAATAAATAATCCGTGACTGCAACATTGATATCATATAAACCATTTAGCTACCTGTATTTGTAANACTGCGACATTGATATCATATAAACCATTTAGCTACCTGTATTTGTAATCATATCATCATGTGTATTATACATGTATATTAACTCAAAAATTTGAAACTTTAAATGTTTATATCTAATAAACTAATAAAGTTATATTAAAAATTCAAATGCCATTTACTATTTAATTAAAAATCCAAACATTTTATTATATTCAAAATATGTGTTCCCATTTAAAAGACAAAAAGACAAAGTTGACACCCTTACAAGGCATAAGGGATGAACATAAAAAGTTTTAAATAGTTAATAATTTAAGAATAATGTGTAACTAAAGAAAATCAAAATAATGTTTAAATTATGTTTATTCTACAAGTAAATGAGTGGGTTATGATAAAAAAATCAGACTGTATACTGTAATATAGTTTATCATTTGTAAAGCTGGAAGTAAAACATTTTTGTAATGCTTTGTTTAATTGTAATTTCCTGATCTATTATTACTAGACCAGGAATTAAATATTTATAAACATTTTTGAAAACGATAGTATTATTAATTTCGCAAAAAGAAGAAAAACAAAATATTTTAGTATATAAGACGAAATGGAATGAATCGTAGAGGACCTCAGGAGCACCGAAGGTAATCTCTTTTCGCGCGGTACGTTTATGACATTCAGTTTTCATTTTGTGTTTTGTTTTATTGTGTTTTTAGTGTATATTTATTTTGTATGTTTTGCATTGTTTAATTATATGCCGAAGGACACTTATAAGACATATGGTTTTGATCAAAGCAAACCAAACACAAACGGAATTTACAGACAACATCATAACGACCATCAATATTCATCTCTCTGAATTTAATACAATCTTTGAGTGCATGTGTGCCAGCGCAACAATAACACTTACCGGAGCTGGATGACTGTTTTACATTTTTCTGTCCCTTTGCTGTAGAGAGGAATGCAACCCGCCTTTCATGCTGCTGTATATATTTTTTATTATCACTAGCGTTGGGTTTTTTAGTCCATACCTGAGCTGGTTTACTTAATTCTGAACTGGGTAGACTTGCCGGTCCTGTATCTAGCAGCTCGGCTAGATATTCCCAAAGTTTATGCTTGGTCAGATTCGTCAATTGTTCTGTCCTGGTTGAGTAACCCGCATGTGACGTTCAAGCAGTTCGTCTCTAACCGTATAAATCGCATCCAGCAACTATTGCCTGATGTTCAATGGGCTTATGTTAAGTCTGAAGATAACCCTGCTGATTGTGCCTCCCGAGGACTAAAACCGTCAGATCTTCCTGGTTGTAAGCTCTATTGGGCTGGTCTGACGTTTTTGAAGAAACCAGTGAGTGAATGNGAAGAAACCAGGGAGTGAATAGAATCTGAAATCGGCCTCTGTTCCAGCAGATCGGCTCCCAGAGGTTCGAGAAGTTCAGGTCTCAATGGTATGTATGATGGAAAATCCAGAGGAATGGTATAGACGTTTTTCCTCTTATATGAACATGCTCAGAGTTACCGCACGCATTAGACGTTGGTTATGTTCGAAAGGAAATGAGCATAGGGACTTTATTTCTACTCAAGAATTGAATGGAGCGTTATATGCTATTGTGAAGCAGGCTCAGAAATTGTTTTTTGTGGATTNTGCTATTGTGAAGCAGGCTCAGAAATTGTTTTTTGTTGATCTAGTGCAAGAACTGCACCAGAGGAAACCAGTAAGTTCAAAATCGTTAAGGCAATTATGTCCGTTCTTAGATTTTCATGGAATAGTACGTGTTGGAGGTCGTTTACGGAATTCTAGTTTAACTGATAACCAAAAGTACCCTATTCTAATACCTAAAGAATCACATTTGGCTCTATTGATTGCTCGCCATTGGCACTCATTCGCTTGCCATGCTGGTCCAAGATTGGTAACGGCTCTTATCAATCAACGCTTTTGGATTGTCGGCATCAGGCTGGTTGTGCATAGAGCAATAAGGGAATGTATAACCTGTGTTAAATTTACAGGAGCGAACCCGCAACCAGTTATGGCAGATCTGCCAGCTGCTAGAGTTCAAGGTTGTCAGACCTTCTCCAAAGTGGGAATGGATTATGCAGGACCCATTACCATGAAAGAGACAAGTCTTAGGAGGTCCAGGGTATTCAAGGTCTACATTGCGCTTTTTGTCTGCATGACTACGAAGGCGGTTCATTTGGAGGTGGTTCTGGATCTGACCACTAAAGCGTTCTTGGCAGCTCTGGATAGGTTTGCAGCTCGGCGAGGCCTACCTTCCGCCCTTTTTTCAGACTGTGGTACAAACTTTGTGGGGGCCAGTAATCAGCTCCGTAAACTGGTAAATGACCCTGCCAATAGAGATATCCTAACCGCTCAGATGCCTGTTGAATGGAATTTTAATCCTCCTAGCGCCCCCCACTTCGGTGGTTTGTGGGAGGCTGCGGTTAAGTCTACTAAATCTTTGATGGTTCGCACCATGGGTGCTCAGGTTTGGTCTCTGGAAGAGTTCTCTACTATTTTGTGTCGAATAGAGGCGGCACTTAATTCTCGACCACTTACGCAGATGAGTACCGACCCAAATGATTTAGGATACTTGACGCCAGGCCATTTCATAATTGGACGCTCTTTACTGGCTGCTCCCGAGGAAGGATGTGAAGATAAGAAGTTGAATCTACGACATCGCTGGAAGCTCCTCCAGCAGTCCTTCCAATTTTTTTGGCGGCGCTGGTCTGCAGAATATTTATCAACGCTCCAAGCTCGTGGACGTTGGCAAGGTACTCAACCAAATGTGAAGGTAGGTGAGATGGTAGTACTAAAGGATAAGATGGCATCTCCATTGACATGGAAGTTAGGCCGTGTTAAGGAAACACTACCAGGTGATGATGGGGTGGTAAGGGTAGTCAAAGTGCTCACTAGTCAAGGGCTTCTGGTTAGACCAGTAGTAAAACTGGTACTATTACCTACCGATTAAAAAAAATTGTTCTTTTTTTGTTTTGGTAATTTATTATGTATATGTCTTATGATCCTTGTTCTCCTTTCTATTTATTAAACTCAAGGACTTACATGTTGGACCGTGTTGCTCTGCACTGGTCGTTTGGTATCAATGCTACTTTCTTAAAAGGTAATATTATTTGTTTAAAATTTTATTAGAATATCTTGTTTGTTAATTAATTGTTGATAATCTAATTAATTTTATGTTTTGTTAACTATTTAGTTAAAGTCACTATTTTCTTGTACACTTATGGTTTTTATAGCTCTATAATTTTTGGTTACTAGATAAGTATAACCTAATTGTTATTGTTTAAAATTGATTCTGTAATATTGTTTATTGTTAACATGTATTGTATTTTATGTTAGTCCCCTCATTGATACGTGAAATTGCAGCTCAGCTCAGCTTAAAGAAATCAGATCAGACAAAATGTAACACCTTCGAAACCTCCTGTGATTGTAAGTCCAGCTGGGACTTCCAAGGGGGAGTATGTTCGAGCAAACGCCAAGATACCGTCAATTGGTACCAGTGAGCTACACTGGTAATAGTTTGGTTATGTTGCGGCGTTATCAGCTCGGATAACGTCCCGCCAATATTGCGCTTGGTCCGGCGGTTGTTGTACGTTGGTCAGTGTCTCGTCGCTGTTTTTATTATATTGACGTTGCTCGGCGTCTCGTCGTGTGTTTTAGTATTGTTCGTCGTNTAATTATATCTATAATAAATACATTTGAGTTATTATTAAACTTTTATTACTTTAAGTTAAGACACTAGGGTTGTTTCTTTTAAGATACAACAGTATCAAAATTTCAAATTTCAAATTATTTGTCAATTCCTAAAATAGTAATTAGAAAAATAGTAAGTTTTTTTTATGTCAGTAAACATTTCTATAATTTTCGTTTGTGAGGTTCATTAAAAGTTGGACACCACCCGAGAAATCATTCAAAATACGCCACTGCGCGTACCTGTCATAAATTATATAATTATATATATATAAACAAATTTTTATTTTGACTGACCAATACCGCCCGCGACTAATGCGCCTTACGTATATATATTTATATATTCCTACCGCCGTTTATACCTTAGGTATAACGTTCTCCCCGCCCACAAAACAAGGCTGTGCCTAGTTCATGATACGTTTACGTACTTATATCGCTTTACATGTATATATATATATTCTAATTACTATTAAAAATATATATTAACACGCTTTATTCTCATTAAGAGATATAGAGTGTATTCATTTCGATTACAAAGGATAATTCCTGTATCGTCATTTTTCGTCACTACCTCCATGTTCCGGGAGTGGGTAATTTACGCGCCTGCTGCTTTCCTTGGACGTGGTAGCCGTTTCTCAGACTCCCTCCCCGAAATTGAATCGTGATTTCCCGTTACCAGTTACAATCATGATATTGAAAGTAACTACTATAATAACATAAAACTAAAAAGTAAAAAATAAATATAGTTTAAAATATATAAAAACACGCTTTTAAAGCACATCGAACTAAAAAGTTAAAAATAATTTTTAAAATAAGCTTAAAACAATAATGAACAAAAAATACTAGTATTATTGTAATAAAAGCTTGGGTGCATTGTGCCATATTTTTCGTATATTAAGCGCCCGACGCTTTTATTACAATAATACTAGTATTTTACGTTCATTATTGTTTTAACTTATTTTAAAAATTATTTTTAACTTTTTAGTTCGATGTGCTTTAAAAGCGTGTTTTTTAGTTTTAGCTTCGATGCGAAGCTGAGAAGGTATTAATTTTACTATAATGTTTTTATTTGGGTGAGGTCTGTTATCACTTTTTCTCAGCTCTCACCGAACGAATTTCTTTCAACGATACGTCAAAAGATCACAAATCGTATCTAGTCGAAGACACTACCCTAAAAAATTGAAAAAATTTCCCTCGTTCCCCGTAAATGGGGGAAACCTCCAAAAAAATTACAAATTTAAAAATCGCTAATTTTCGAAATTTTTTTTACTAAAAACTGTCATAACTTTTTCAAAAATGAACATATCAATATAAGTTTTTTTTTTATACATGCTTGATGTCTTTACTTATCAGTTGGTATATTTTTTTTGTAAATTTAACCCTTTATCTGCCCACAGGGGGGGATTTAAAATGACAACTTTTTTACATAAAATTAACTTTTTCAACTTAACTTTTGAAAATGTTCCGGAAGGTCTGACACTTTTATATATATCTTAAATTAAAGTTAATGTTATATACTTTAATTTGAAAAAAAAATTTGATTTCTGAATCTTTGTTGCGACATACTTTCTTTTTGAATTGGACCATTTCCCTATATACGAGGGGGGTTTAAATCTGAAAATGCATATAGAATGTAAAACTTCACGGCGAAAATGGCTACCGAATATTATTTTCGTGTGAGAATTCTCGATTTTATTTTTTATCATGTAGCTTTTGGAATAATACACCAATTTTTTTTTAATTAAACACAATCTAAAGATTTGCATCGAAGCGTTTATTTTGGATAGTGATTTTAATCACTGTCAGATATCATTATACTTGATCCAACTATACCACGGCACCACTGTGCCGCGACCCCCCTGTGCTGGGTTTTTTTAAACTATATTTATTAATTATAAAAACTGCGCTAACTGATAAAAAAAAATTTTTGTCTTCCATGACCTACAAGAAGTCTATGATGAAAATTCCTAACATTTCTGAACTATAGCCGCACACATATTATGTAATTTCACATTATTATAAATAATATGCATTTTTAAGACTAAAATTTTAAATCACCTGAATTTTTTTTAAGTGATTACTAAAAGCCACTAAAAAAAAGCTTTGTCTTTTTTTATATTTGTAACAATCAAAGAGACCGATTTTTAGTCATTATATTTATGACCCCCCTCATGTAAAAAGTAGTTCCGACACTACCATTACTACCAGACTTACATATGTATAAAAATCAATACATGTATAATGTACATGTAATATTATAAAACATGTGGCATGTATGAAATATTATAATATATTTTTATAATTAAAAAAAAATAACGTAAGATTTAAAAAGTATGTTTTTTTTGTTGATTTAATTCTATAGTTCATTAGCAGTAGTATTAAATAATTACATTTACCTAATGAACAATATTTTCATTTTTCTAATATTTAAACATCTATTTTTGATTTACCTTAAAAAAGATAGCAATTTATAATTTAATATTTGCTCTACTAAAAAATTAACAGAAATGGACTATTACCATAATGCCTTCAATTATTTAGATTAGTCATAAAACACTTTTAGTTGTAATATAATTTAGAATCAATGTGTTTAATCGTATATTATTTAAATCATTTGTAAGTAAAACATTTAGTAGGTTATACTTCATCAAAATTTATAATTTATAATATGTATAATATAAAATAAAATACAAGTATTGTAGTCTCAATTTGTAAAATACACTTTTTAATAAAAATATGTAATAAATGTTATATTTTTAAATGTAGTACTTTTTGCTTATCATTTAGATTATTTTTACTAAATTAATGTCCATAATATATACAAAAATAAAATTGATTCACAGTCATGTTTTAAGTTCCACTTTACCAAAACTTTAACAGCGACTTTATCTCAATGAAATCTCTTAGTCGATTAATTTATCTTTACAAAAAATAAATATTATAACATGCTATATAATATTTTATATATAATTTAATTAATATCAAGTTATATTAATGATTACATGTTTAATTTGCATAAGAAAATTTATGAGTAATACATATAACAGGAATATCACCAGTTATTGACACATCAATAAAATTTTGAAAATTCGATAAAACATAAATAATTGTTTAAAGGATTAAATTTCTTTTTTGTTTTCAAATGAACTCAAGAAAGTTTAAGGAAATTAATGATTCTTTAAAATTGACAACTGGTGCCGTTACTCTACACAGTGTCTAAAGCAATATTACAAAAACCCTGTTCTTTCAAAAAAATTAATTTCTCATATAAATAAAAAAAAAAGATAACATGTTTTATAAAATATTTCTTCTGAAATGAATATAATAATAAATGAATTTTTTAAGCAAATTGCAATCATTTAGTTTTAATATTTACAAAAAAATATGTATAATAATAAATAAAATAAGATTAGTAAAGTTGTTTGGTGTCCCTTGATATTGTACCTTACAATGAGAATAGCTTAACCATAATTTTATTAAAAACACAACACATTTTTTTAATAATACTAAACTGCTTTCATTAAATAGCTAAAAGAATCATTATTAACAATGACTAAATGATTAAAAATATGAAATGAAGCTATAAACCATAAGCTAATAGTTCATTTTTATATATTTTTTTAATTGCAAAATACATTTTTAATTTTTAAGTTAGAAATAATACTTGTCCAATTTTAAGTATGAAAATGGTTCAGAAATTGTTTAATAATTTTTAAGGTAGATATTAATTTATTTTCAAGCATAGATAAAATTTTAACTAGTTTAGTTAAAAAATTTACTTTTTAAATAATTTTCTTTTAGCTTACTTAAAAATTTAAATCTAGCATAAAAATGATCACTTATTAAAGGACGAAGAGGCATAATTATAAATGTATTTTTTTTTTAATAAATGCACATGTTATTATTTTGAGCTTACATTTTGTATTATAGAAACTCATATAAGAAGTTCTTATAAGAACCAAAACTTTTAATCTAAAATAAAATCTATTCTAAGAGAATATTAATTACTACCTCCACATTCATTTGCATTTAGCCTACTTCATCATAACTTATATCAAGTTTTTTAATAGTTAATAAAATCATGAATGTAATGAAATTATATTTATTTATTGTTAATAATATTATAGAAATAAAAATTGTGTTAAAATATGGAAATCTAACTCATGAAAAAAATGTAAAATCAAAATATTTGTGTTATAAAATTTTAAATGGATTATCATTTATTTTTTGAGTAAAGGAGCTTTAAATATAAATTTTATTTATGTAATAAAAATATTTTATATTAGTTTATATTTTCAAACTTATATTGAAAGTGTATTTAGTAAATAAATTGTAAATGATTATTTTATAAAATTAATGTATAAAGTATATTGTTAGTTAAACTAATGGTTGCAATATAATATCGCATTATTAATCCATCAAAATTTAAAATCAATAAAAATTGAATCCAATATTCCTAAACAAGTTCACAAATTTCTATAATTTTTTAAAATTTTACAAAAACATGAAAAATTACCTATTTTTATGATTTTATAAAATTACTCACACAAAAATAAAAAAATTACTTTTGTTACAGTTATATATTTATGATAAAAACAAAACTGTATCATATAGAGAGGGAAGAGCACAAATTAATTTTTAAATACTTTTCATATTTTAGAATTATTAGAAGTATTTTTATAATTAAAATAAATTAATTACCGTGTACAATTTATTTATGAATTTAAATATACTAGAAAATTATAATTATTAATAAGAATAAAAAGGTTTTAAAATCTCTTTTTTTTTTATGGAGTTAATAAAATAAATAGATTAAGTTTATAAAAAAAACAATATGAATACATATTATAATAGAATACATTATAGTTGTAAAAAATAATACAAAAAAATCGAAGGTTCAGTATAAATCTTAATAATTTTTTTCACTACCACTTTTAAACAAAAATTTTTTTGTGATTTCATAAAAAATGAAAACTGTTTTATACAAACTAAAGGTTTTCATGATATGAATGAGTTATGTTAATAAATCAAATAAATATAACAAACTGTCAGACTTTTCATAAGGTAACTAAATGTTTTTTTCGTCAATTATTTTGTACACAAAATAAGTTTCGAAATCATTACCAATTGTTGGTGAGTCTATAACCATCTCATTTTTTAAAATTTGTTTCATCATTACTAGTCACTTTGAGGGTCGCAGGAGGAAGCGGGTAAGGTTTTTTGAAAATTTGTGGTTTTGCTTTAATAGGAGGCTTGGTCATTTTGGGAGGTAATTCAGGTTTACTTTTGCTGGATTGTGGTAAAGGCTTATTATATTTTTTTAACGTACATTGATTTTGTTTAGCAAAACGCTCAGCAGTTGTTCCCATGTCTGGGCTGTCTGGATCACTTACTATAATACAACTTTTGACACTATTGACATCTGATCCAATAGATTCTGTAATTGATGCATCTATTTTTCTTATGGGCAAATCCATAACTAAATCTGGAGCTCCACCACTCACTTTTACAATGGTTTGTTGTGGCTGAGTCAGTTGTTGTTTAGTTATTTTACGGTATTCCATTGATCCTTGAGAATCTGCTCGTCTACGCCATAGTTGTATTTTATGATCAAAAGAGTCATCACCCATACTTAAACTCTTAGCATGCTTCTTTCGTGACCTTCCAGTACCATCTGCGGACTTTGATCTAACTTGATGATGTTCGCGCACTACTGACGATACAGCTGTATGTTTTTTGTATAAATTGATATTATCTTCTCTTGCTGGAATAAGAATTAATTCTGAGATTTCTTCAGTGTGAGACTGATCTTCTAAAACTGATCCTTTCCCAGAATCTAAACTATCCATACTACCAATAATCTGAAAAAATATATGAAGATTTATATACAAAAGACAATGAAGCATTTAGCTTGCTTAATATTAAGACACGAGATATTGATAAAAGTTAAATAAAGCATCAAACAAAAACAATATGATCATAAATTTAAAAAAAGAAAAATATTTAAGTTTAATACCATAACCATAGAAAATTGAAATTTATCATACAACCTTTAAGAGCATGTTAACCCAACAATTCGGAGAAATTTGTTAAATTTATAAAGATTTTATAGTTTTATGGATTTGTTGTATTATGTTAAAACAGAAAACTAATGGACCATTTGGGGTTACTTTGTCTTGATAGGTTAATAATAGGCTAAATAATAAGTAATTTTCTCAACAGCAATAAGTAATCATCTTTTACAAATTATTTTATAGGTTGTTATGCTTTTTTTATAAATTTATCGTATCTTGCATTAATGGGTAATACAAAACATCAAACCCTAATAAAATTATTCTTAATTGTTAAAAATTCAATATTTAGATATAACAATAGAAAATTTTTTACAAGCATAGATATACATAGTATTGTAAAAAGAAGAACATAATTATCATTTGATACTGTAGTAAGTATACAAAAACATTTAATACACAATAATAGAGGTTAATTTAGAAAACCAGAAAAATAATAATAAAACATATTTAAATAATTCATAAGAAAATTGATTACTAAAATTATGTTACACAGCTAAAAAAAGTTATTTCAATTTCAACATTAATATTTAAATTACTTTTTTTTAATGGTTAATGAAGCTTTTAGAAGAAAATTTTAAATATGCAGGAACAGGCAAATTTGTAGGCAAACTAAAGAAATTGCTTATATACTTACAACGAACATCAGTAATATCATGTAGATCATACAAGCTTTAGTATAGAATAATCAAGTTCTTTTTACTCATATATAATTGCTTAACTATATTAAATATAGTTGATATTTCTGTATTAAAACTTTAGAGTAAATTATTCTAGTGAATATGTTTCTACTTTCTAATGACTGTCAACATTAAATCAAGCATATACACTTAACTAAATTTATATAGATTTATAAATTAAATAATAAAACAAATTTTATATTAATAGTTTTAAAATATATTTAACTGTACACAATTTATGATGAGTATTATTTGCCTTTTAAATCCTGTCCATTTCTTGTTATAATTAATTTATAAAAGTAACCATTTGATGAACTAAATAAAAATAAATACAATAAGAATAACTATAATGATAGTTATACAAACACCTAAACTTTTAATAAGTAGTTCTTTACCATATCAAGAAGTAAACATTTGAAATAATTTATCCCAAGACTAAAAAATTGCAATTATTAAAAGTTAAATATATTCAAATGATATAAATAATAAGAAACAGATTGAGACCAATAGTTTTGATCGTAAAAATTGGCATTTTTTTAATGGTAATAAAAATACACTTCTTATATAACTTTTTATCAACTAAATAAAAAAACTTTTTATAATATATTCTAATGCTAAAATAAATAAAAAATTATTTAATTTCAATTCATGTTTTTTCTTTGTTAGTGGATATTAATAATTTGTATTTTCATAGATCTTTGGACTACAGATAATAATTAATAATAAGCCATAGGTAGCTTAAAAATCAAAAAATTTAGTTATCATTAATGAACTTAATAGGATTGTGCTTTCATTAACAAGGCTATATGTGTTCTCAAAATTTATAAAAATCTATTATGATGTTATATTTTTCACATATAAAACACATCATGCTGCTGAGATTACAATAATTGTAGTTGTTGAAAACATAAACAAAACATTTGAAAAATATACACAATACAAAACATGGATATAATAATAATTCATAACATGCTTATAAAAACAAAACTGTATGCTTCTGAAAGTTACAATAAAATATTCTTAATAAATTAATTACTATCGTTATACATATTATTAAGGTTGCAAATAGTCATAATTTGATAAAATATAAAATAATCTGTCAATAAAAATCATATCTTAAATGAGTACTTCAAATCATAAGTAAAAATTAAAGTAAAAAAACATTACAAATAAGTTGTCAGATGCCATAATAGTATGTGTTTTATAATTTTATAAGATTTTAATGTATAATATATTATTCCTTTCTTTTTCATTTTCAATAAAAAATATTTATACAAAGCGGACTAGCAAAAATAAATATGTAAAAATTCATGATTTGAGACAACCTTTAAGGTTATCAAAAGAAAGGCAAAGCTCAAAATTTGCAATTATGCTTATAAAACTAATTTAAAATATATATAAAAAAACATACTATATTTTCAATACATGCCTTAAATAAACCAATCAAATAAAATATTGTGGTCATGCTAAAAAGTAAAAATATTATTTTGAGTTCTCAATATTCAACCGAACTTAACTATACTAGAATAAAAAAATGTTGCCATACTATTCGCATAAGAAACTAAAGTTATTATAAATAATCATCAAAAAAGACAAATAGTTCTATTCTACTCGAAAAATTACACAGGATGCTGAAGAATTTTCATAAAACATAAAAAATTAATAGTTAAAAATCCACTTCAAACTACTTAAGAAAAATAAAAGTAATTTCAAAGGGAAAAACTCAGACGGTCGTCTCAAGTACCTCGTGAGCTGTTGTGTTGTTCATGGAGTGATGAGTATGCAGTGGAGGTGGTGGCGATGTAGACGACGAGGTACACGAAGATGCAGCCGATGTCACCATGATCGAACAGCAGTTGTTGCCGTCATACTTTTCAGCCTGGTTAGGTCCGTTAGGCGGCCAAGGTACTTCTCCTAAAGGCGGAGAAGAGTACCCAGAAGCAGCAGATTCGGATATCACAGAATCATTGGAACTAGAAGTTCGCCGACGTGTTGAGTCGTCTGAGGAAGTGATCGATTTTGAACAAAGTTCCGTTATGGGTTTCTCTTTCTCTTCATCTCTATTCAATATAGAAAAATCGAACATTTTATAAATCGCCAAATGATAGTTAAACAAGCAAATTTAATTTTAATTTTTAATTTTTTTTAAATTACATTTTAACAAGATTTACTATTATTGTTATGATTTAATTACACAAGATAATATGTTATGATAAAAAACCAAATTAATTTATCTCTACAGTTGGTTTTTTTTTTACATATACCAATATATATTACATATATTCAATATTTTACGATGTGTTCTATATATAACACCATGATATAAAATTATTTCTTAGAAAAATATGGAAGACATTCCTTATTTCCATGACACTCTGGACATTTCGTGTTTGTGTTGGTTTAAACCTTGTCACAGATAATACAAATATATTTGTCTACACCCAACCCCCACTGAAAATAATTTGACACATTTGTTCCGAAATAATAGTCGCATTTTATGAACATTATTGATGTTTTATTATAATATTAATGATGGGTACTATCAAGTATCGGTAGTTTTGCTACTGGTATATCAGATAATTTTTGAAAAGCTGTCAAATAATCATTACATTGTTATTATCCATCCACGAATGTCTAGTTTTAGACTATCAAATTACCAGATGAAATACTAAAAAATTCGATAATCAAAAGTATTCAAGCAAATTTTTATTAAAATAAAATATTCGTTGTTCATTTAGTTTATGGTGACAACGACAGTCAGTAATTCGATGGTCGGAGTAGTCCGGTGTAATAGCTCTCGACAGGTAAATACTATCGAAAAAATTTTGTGTCTATTGATAGTTTTTGAAAACAATCGGATAAATCGAATAGTATTCACTCGGTAATACTACAGAACATTCACTTTTGTTGAATTACGAAGTGCACTTTGAATTGTAAATTATTGTTCGAGTTTGATTTGCATAACCATAAGGGTACTAATAGTATGGTTATTTCGAGATTTATTAAAAATATTGAGTTTACTTGATATGTTGGTTTACTCAATCAATCAATTAACTCGGTAGTCCAAAACTGTTAATTAAAAGTATACAATGCAAGTAAAAAGTTTATTTACCTTATTTTGAGAAGTATATATTTGTCAGGTATAAGACCTTCACGACCATTAATACAGCCTCGCCACCAGTCTCCTGACACCTGAGTATGCAAAGCTATTGTTTCGCCTTTCTTGAAACTTAACTCTCGTTCGGATCGAGCAGAAAAATCGTACTGAGCAGTGGCTTCTAAACTTTCACACTCTAAAAAGAATTTTAAAATGTTGAAAACATTACACAATAAATATTTACTATACTTCTAATGTTATAAAAATTAAACCACGAACAAAGCTAAATAAAAAATTAAATTTTAGTTCAAGAATTTTTTCATCGATTACTCATGTGAAAAATAACGAGATAATTATTTACTAGTCACATATTAAAACTTTGTTTCACTAAGCTAATTCGTACTTCTAATACATAATCATAATAACGAAGATACACTATGATCACGCATCGCTAATAATTATATAAACGCTATAGTCATTTAAAAGACGCTTGATTATTTGTTTAATGTATTCTAAACAAAATTCAAAATCGCAATGTTTATGACAAAAGACAAACGAGAATGAAAACTTACCGTCTTCTGACGGGTAAACCTCTGAATCAATGTCTTCTTGAGCGTGATCCGATGGCGAATCTCCTACATCCGCATCATCTGGTTCTCTAGATATATATTTTTCATATACCAATCCACCTATCTCTGTTGATGACGGGAAAATGTCTTCGTGGAAAAGTATTATATTTTTTATGAGATCATTAACGAGGTTTTGATATTGCACTTGATCTTTTTCCTCGGGAACTGGCACCAGCGTAGGGCCGAAACAAATAGCCAAGTTATAAACGTCCATCATGTTCTCATCGCTAAATTCTGATAAACTAAGTACCGAAAAAAAAAAAATTTATTTCAATTATCGAAAATTAATGAACAACAAATTCTTACTGATTGAGAAAAGCAAATAAATATCTTAACATGACGACTACTTGACTTGAAAAACTTTGAACTAACTCTTTCATTTTCATTACGAATTGATGCCTTGATTCTAATTCTAGAAATTTTAAAATTTTTAAAATTTAAAGTTAACATAGAGTTATATATCATAAGGTTTTATTTAATTCCCAATAACCACCATATTACCAATAAATATAAATTAGAAATTATTTTTAACACTTACGGGCAAGTTCCATGAACTGGTCAAAGTATATAATTGGGAATAAGGGTTCTCGAAGTTCTCTTAGATAAAGTTTCAGTACGCCGGCAACAGAGTTAATATCTGAAGCATCAGTCATATCAGCAAGTGGGTCCTCTCCCCTCTCGAACGCCTCTTTAAAATTATTTATCTCTACTTGCGATCCGGATACTCTGAAAATCCCTTGATGGTGCAAACCTTTTGAAAAATGTTCATCAGATGTCACACATTCATTAACATCTCAACATTTGAATAATTAACAAATAAAAAACATACCAAACAAGTTAATAATTCGAATACAACTTTTCACTACCAACGGAATCTCTTGATTAGTAGCGTCCAAATACTCTTCAAGAGATCCGCCAAACAGTTTTGGCTGTCCATTCATTTGTAATCTTCCAATTCTTTTTCTGCGGACTATCGGTTTGTGAATCGGCCGTTGGGGCGTCTGTTTTGCAGGTGTCGACTCTGAATTGCCATTTTGAGGACGCTTGAAACATATGGTTGACAAGGTTTCATTGATATGCTGTTGTTTGGCGTCTAGACGGACGATTCGACTTGTTCTCATTAAATAATCACGTAACTTCTAAAGTAAACATATACAAGAACTCAAATGAAATTTACACATGTTTCTTCGCAATAGATCAAACAAGAAAAAAACATTCAACAATTATTGATAGCATATTTTTTTAAAAAGGAAAACTCATTTAATAATAAGTCAGAATAAATCATAAAAAATAACTTCCAGTTCCAAAATAAATAGTAACCTTTTATAATTAAAAAAATCCCGAAGGTTTAAATTTAAACTTACAGTTAAATAAAATTCTTCAGTCTCATGTTTGTCAGCTCTTAATTTAATCGTTATTGTTTCCGGTGGCTTGCTAGTGGGTATAGCCTTTTCACCGAAGTAACTACTGCAATCGTAGTCATTTGCCGTGAGCATCTCTAGCAGAGTCTTTTCGGCAGTTGCTAATGTCTTCCACACTTCATCCGACTCCGTATGCAAAGTTGTCACACGTTGATCTAATTGTTCTAGTCTAGTTTCCATATCGGCACAGAGCAATTTTTGCAACTCTGGCTCGGCATACTGACACAAATGAATTTTATAAAGTAAATAAATAAATTGATCATTTTTCATTTTTCATTTAATTTAACACATCATATCTGTAGCTGTTTTCCAAAATTCAATTAATTAAATTTCCCAAGAAAGAAAAACAATTCAATTAAGATCAAAGCACATAAACATGGGGTTAATACCGCAAAAGTACGTTAATCAGTTATTACAGTCTTCAGGATGTTAAAAAATAAATCTGAATCATACACGTTTCAATACAAGAGGCGATTTTACTTTTATAGCATACAATAATAAAACTACGAGTCTTACGAAAAAAAAATATAAAACAAAACATGTCTAGAAACACTAATTATATAATTATTGATACAAATCTCATTTTGTCGATTTTTGAGATACCAACTGTTGCAATATAATCGAAGATATATTTGTAGTGCAAAAAAAAACATAACTTATCGATAAAATCAATTTGAACATTTTCGGCAGTCGATAGTTAACATTTTTCTTAATTAATACTATCAAAAATCTCCAAACCCCATTTTTTCACTTATCAACTTTTGGATAAAGGCTACAGATATTATTAAATTTTAAAATACGGTTGGTCTACCTCATCTCTCTGTCCCTGAAATTCAAATTTCTTAGGTATCATAAAAGCGGTATGGTTAGATTCTAAAAATCGTTGTTTGTCCACTCCCGAATCCATAGCCGAAACTATCAGATTGGATGCATCTAATCCCGTTTGCATGGAATGTATGCGACTTTCCTCGGCCGAGGTATACATTTTCATAGCGTTGGTGACACAATGGTGAAACCCGAAATCCATACAATCCATTAGGTCAGACAGGTCGTCAACAAAATACTTATGTACTGTGCTATTTGTTGCTTCGAGACATAAAATGTACTCGTTGCGAGCTTTTAACGCTTTTAGTTTAGCGTCGAAATATTTATTTTTCCGCTAAGAAATAAATAATAAGTTATCTAAACATCTTCAAGTCAACAGAAAGCATAAAATTTTAAATATTACCTTTTGCACTTCTTTACCGATAAGCCGAACTTTTTTAGATTTTTCAAGCTTTTCTTTAGGAACTGCTTGCTCAATTTTCAGTCTTTGGTTTTCGGCTACTTTGAGTTTGGCTTCTGCTTGTTTTGCTTCCGACTGGTAAGATTGATACGTTTTCATAGTAGTATGCAATTCGTGTAGGACGCGGAGTATCTCTTCGTGGATTTCGTAACAGATCTCTCGACACTAAATGTTTATTTTAAATTTTATAAATTACTCTATTTATTTATTGTGAACCATTGGCTGCAGCATTTTAAGTACTCACTCTTTTGTATATCCTCTGCACGTCTTCTGCTACTTGAGATAACCGGCTGACTAGATGTGTAGAATAAAGTTCGCTTAACGCCCCGTGATCTTTGCTGAGATTTTTTGTCTGCAAAACTAATTGCTGCCAACACGAGTAGCTAGTAAACAGTGACCACTGTTCTCTCCTGAAATGATTACACACAAGGTGAAAAATGTAAAACGCGCAGGTTTTCACTATATCCGAAACGAGTTAATTTACATTCCTTCCTGTCGACACACAGGATACACTTGGCATACATGTCTTGTGTTATCGACAAGTACAGTTACCAATACTAATTCACGCTAAGGCGCGTTTTACATAATGCACGTCAACGCTACAATATAATTTATACGTTTTGTTCTTACGGTTTTATTCGACTCGAATATAAGTTTTACAAGTGAATAACACACACACAATCAAGTTTTCAATAAAAAATAACAAATATTTCCAAATTAAAATTTCATGAATCGACAATTAACTTACTTTTGTTTTTGTTCTTTGTGGCGTAATTGCAAGCTTTTAGCCAGTTTGTCTAGGCTCTTGCTGTAGTCCATTTCAACTTCGGCCCGCCTCCTGAAGAAGTCTTGGAGCTCGGATACCAAGGACACTTGTGCTTCGACCCGGCTGTCCAAACATCTTAGGTGTTCGTTAAGCTGGAGGCGAATATCTACGGGAGGTAGAAATAAAATTAATTTCAAGATATTCATACATATCAAATTAACAAAGCAAAATACAATACACGTGCAACACTACAATACAGAATTGTACACGCTGCGCATAATATGTAAGAGAGCGTATATTTATTTAATTATTTGTTTTATTGTACGATGAACTTTCGGGTTAACATTGCGTGGCGCGTTCATCGGAAATCGGAATAAATAATTTTACAACGTGATCACGATAAGGAATAGGCAAACTTCTATTCAATAGTCAGGAAGATTTAAATTAAGATGGGAAACCGTGGGCATACATAATGAATTGACCTTTTGTTATTAAGGAATCCAGATAGCTAAACAGAGTAATAGAAACCAAGAATTTATCCAACATCATAAAATTATTCAATATCAAAGTCTACTTTTAAGAATAATTTCAGTAATATTTTTAGGCCAGACGCATGCACACTCAAATGTCCAACTGATGTATTCTTTTATACATCAATTGTTACACATTAAGCTAATATAATAAACATATTGTGTTATACTATTTTCTGGATCCAATAGATATGTACCTTATCTCGTTCACACCTATTATAACAACTGATGACCGAATGTCAAATGTAAACAATATTATTCAGAACGTTTTTCAATATACAAAATAAACCTACACGATTTATCTCGTCTATAAACAAAATAAATAATTTATAGATAACATTTTTTTTTTATTATTTCAATGGAAACATTAAATCACACNACATTTTTTTTTTTTTTTTATTATTATAATAGTAACATTAAATCACACGCACATCCTATATCGACAGCTGTACAAATGTGTGCCAAGCTAAATATGGCTGAGCGACGGTTTTCTTCGAGGTCACATAATCTGTTCTCCCACCAAAAATTTATAAGAACATATTAAGTGGTTGCTTTGATAGTATTACGCCGCACAATAGTGTGTTTAGGCCCATCTTAAATAAACATTAGGGCTCTAATGATTCTGAAAACCTNTAAACATTAGGGATCTAATGATTCTGAAAACCTTTTCCCCGACAGCATAACCTTTGACACGAACATGAAATTTGCTAAAAGAAATCAACATTTAAACGGGAATACTTTGGATAGTACACTCTGACATCTATTATCTCATTTAAAAAAAAGCATCGTTCAAACGATACGACTAGTCATTAAATCAAGAGTTAAAAAAATAGTTTCATAACTAGACGGCTATTAATAATAATGATAAAAAAAGAACTTGATTATTGTTTTTTCTTTAAATTTAGTTTCAGGCTAAAAATAACGCTTTTCGGTGTTGGCTTTTAAAAACGTTATCGTTCCACCGTCACAGGCAATACGCTGTGTATTAGTGTGGGCGTTGAAATATTGTACGACAAATGTTGGAGGAAACGAGTCAAGATGTCATGACTGGATTAAAATAATAAGAACGGTTGATTACAATACAAAAACGTTGGAAGATAAAAGAATCAGGGACACTCATAGAACCAGTATAAATCTCGTACGTGCGGCGGACTACTTGCGTACAGCTTTCAAATAAAACACGCTATGGATTTTTTACTTTTTTTTATATATAATGACTTGCCGCTGCGCCGGACCGGATGAAAACGTAACGATGATAACTCGACAATAGTCGCCCTTCCACGCTGCGGATACCGTTCCGGCCAGGTGTTTTCTTTATAAGCCGATTTGTTTAAGGCTTCCAACGTTCGCTATTTCCCTTCACTTTGAATATAATACTTTTAAAGTGCAAACGTCCACTCTAAAATTACAGAGAACCAGTACTACAAGAATGTAGATCCAACGATCTGCACAAATTGTAGCTTTAGGCAAGATTCTGTTCCCAAGACACGCTAATGGCCAAATCAAGTCATTATCCCATCAAAATATTTGTTTGTAGAGAAAAAAAACATACTCTAGATGTGTACATGTGCATTACTGTGAAACAATAATGCATTATACTAAAAATACCATAAGACTTAATGGTACAAAAATGTAAACAATTAGATTTGGTTAATTAGATTCGGTGTTGGCGTAATTTTAAATATTACGTTATCACGAAAGGTCATAAAGCAAACACTATAAACTTTGAGCAGAGNGGTCATAAAGCGAACACTATAAACTTTGAGCAGAGAAGCCGAGAAAAATAGACTTTAATTAGTTAATTTTTAATGAGTGACTTGAAAGCAGAATTTTTAATAACAGCTAATTTTTCCCAAACGTTTATATAACTATACTGCTGTTAAGATAGATGGAAATTAAACATAAAAACTGATCTTTATGAATAAACATGAAAACGTTTGGTCTGACACTCGAATTTAGATTGAAAGCATACTCTAACAACGGAAGTACCTACTTGATTGTGATAATTGACGATCGTATACTTATATATTTTTCTCTCATCACTTAAAAAATCACGGACAAGGTTATAAAAAGACATGTGGCTAATTTCCTAAGTGATAAATTGAATTTTATCAGACGATAATGGTTGTATAAAAAAGTTATTAATTAATTAACTTTTCAGACAATAATTTCCTTTTACAAAGTATATAATTTTAATAAAACTTATGATTTACGTTATAAATCTTGATTTTGTACTATTGACGCCAAACATTTTTACTGTACGAACAATTGTAAATAAATAAAAATTATGTTTAAAGGCTGGGTAGGAATGGTTTAATAACATAATATAATAAACTTAAAGTTAATAGAAAACCTATTTGTGTTTCTCCTAGACTCTATGCGTGACAATAGACTCTTCATTTCCTCTACAGCATATGTACACTTCTGCCAAAGAATTCCCAAATTCAAAACTTTTATACTCTCAAAAAATGACATTTTTCTGTATTTACTGTCACTATTCCGTGTACACACATCATATATTTTTCTGCAATGAAACCCTTCTTTTTTTAAACCCAACCAACAGTTTTTTTAAGCCATTTTTCTAATTGAGAAAATTTGAAGTACACTAAAAAAATATTAGAAAAATTTCATAGTGAATGACCAATAATCATATATGAGTTAATAAAGTATTCGATATTTAATTAGGATTAGTTAATTTAGTAATGAAAAATGTAAAACCGTATAGAAAATTGATTAAATTATCATTTAATTTGTACAAGTTATTTGCTGTTGTGCGACTTAATCAAGAAAGACGAAAAGAACGAATAGTTCTTATTTTAATATATGTATCGGAAACGCAAAGCTTGTCAAAGCTTCTCTCCAGAGTCCTCTATTCGTGTGACTACTATTCCAGATAAGATTAATAAAACATGGCGAAAACTTGAACATCATCCTAACTCGAGGACAGTACGCGCGCCTACTGCCAAATATACATAATTTCATTCACTATATACACTTAACCATAACGTTACAATAAATTTTGGGTGTAGTTGTGATGGCGAAACAAAATTGACCTTGACTGAGCTCTCTCATTTCACCGCCTACAAACAGCACACGTGGTGTTCCGGACCGTTTTGTACGTCGGCGTATCCAACGGCGGGTAATTTAAAAATAAACCGACGACGGGGCTATGGCAAGGGGAGGAGTATTTCGGATGGGTTAAAATAATAGTACTTGTGCATAGAAGATCCGGCAAAGC